GCCCAGAGGCCCCCAAGTTTTTTATAGGAGATGTTAACCACTGTACTTTAAACAAAACCTTAAAATCATATGAACAGTATATAACTTGCTCTACAACGCAGAGGAATACCTTACCTTAGATCTTTGTTATGGCTCAATAAATGGGGCCTATAAATCCTTGGCTATGCCGCCACTCGGTGCCTCCTACCACAATAGTATTTATCTGATGCCTGTGTACAAGCCCGCTTTCAGACGCCTAGAGCGTGAGGAGAAAATCATCGAACTCTGGACAGAAGACAGTATGAACAGCAGCTATGCTAATTATTTTCACTTTTTTTCTTTTCTGCTGTTATCTCGGGACGTGAGTCCCGAGGAAAATGCCGTTCGTCAGCTCCAGTTTGTATCAAGGCTCTCACGGAGACTTCAGATGCTCCAATCACAAAGCCTGTGAAGAGACGACTCAACGCCGGCGATATGGACTATCTATGGTGGACGGCACTGATCCTCAACAACTCATCTCTATACCGGCGTGATTACTTCGACTTCCAAAAAGACGGAAATGGATAAATACTCTAAATGTTCCGATTCCAATCTGACTTGTAATGCTGCCCGAATGATGCACTGTTCCTTCGTTGGCCAGAGGAGAACTGGCCCCCCGACTGAGTCTGGTTTCTCCCAAGGTTTTTTTCTCCATTCTGTCACCTGATGGAGTTTTGGTTCCTTGCCACTGTTGCCTTGGCTTTTGGCTTGCTTAGTTGGGGACATTTAATATTCAATAATATTATTGATCTGCCTTACTTAAGGTGGACGTTGACGCAATTTTCTTCTAGAAACAAACTTTGTTGTATTATTTTCATGTTATCACTGTGAAGCTGCTTTGATACAATCTGTATTGTAAAAAAGCGCTATATAAATAAAGGTGACTTGACTTGACTTGACAGTATTTCCTCTCTACAGGGGTGTCTAGAATGCACTGATTGGAATTGTTTTTATGACACTTGTAGTGACATTAATGAACTTACAGAAACAATTTCTGCTTATGTCAAATATTGTGTTGACATGGTTATTCCATCTAAAAAAGTGGTAATTTATCCTAATAATAAGCCTTGGGTAACGAAGGAATTGAAGAGTGTTATCAATAGGGGGAAAAAAAGACATTCTATCTAGGGGACCTGGTAGAGAAAAAAGCCGCCCCCAAGAGAAGTCAAAAATGAAATAAGGAAGGCAAAAATCCAGTATAAGAACAAAATCGAAAATCAATATAACAGTGGGGATCTAAGGGCAGCTTGGCAAGGTATTAAAACTATGGCAGCCATTAATCAGCCTGTAGGCAGAACAAGGCAACAAATAAAATTGAAGGGCATAGACGATGGCGATTTGCCAGATACTTTTAATCAATTTTTCTGCAGGTTTGAAAGGTCTTTTTCAGATAGTATAGCCACATTGAGAGAGACGTTAACGCCTCAGAGAGGGATAAAAATACAACAGACAAAAGTCATAACATTACTTAAAAATACAAAAAAAGGAAAGGCTGCTGGTCCTGATGCCATCTGTGGGCGTACACTGCACTATTGCGCCGAGCAGCTTAGTGAGGTTTTCCCAGTTATCTTTCAAAAAAGTGCTGACAGTGGGGATATACCTGACATATGGAAAACATCAACAGTAACCTATCCCTAAAACAAAATCTCCTAAAGACCTCAATGAATTTAGGCCAATTGCGCTGACTTCCCGGGTAATGAAATGCTTTGAAAACATCGTAAAGGACATAATCATCCTCCTAACTGTAGACAAATTTGATCCACTACAATTCGCATATCAAGCGGGCAAGGGGGTAGAGGATGCAAAGCTTTTCATTCTTGACAGGGTGTATAAACATCTTGAGAAACTTGCCTTACACGTAAGACTTTAGTTCAGCTTTTAACAAAATGCAGCCCCACATCCTAGTCGAACGATTAGCCTCACAGTTTTAGTTACCCGAGCAGATCTTATTATTAGTTTTAATTTTTTTAACAAATAGAAGGCAGCAGGTCTATGTAAATGGTAATATGTCATCTGTCATGGTATCAAACACAGGCTCTCCTCAGGGCTGTGTGCTTTCACCCTTGCTTTTACACTGACAACTGCAGGTCATCTTGGAGAACAGCCATTTGGTGAAGTTTTCAGACGACTCAGCCCTGTTGTCCCTATTACAGGGCTACCAATCTGATCACAATAGTGCCCTTACGGAATTTGTCAGATGGTGTGATGACAGCTTCCTTGACTTAAATGTGTCAAAAACTAAAGAAGTAATCATAGATTTTAGGAAGCATAGTGATGAACCAAAACCATGTGTAGTACATAATGAAAATGTTCCAGTAGTTCAAACATATAAGTACTCACAACTGAAATTCAGTGAGAACAGTGATAGCATTATTAGGTGAGCAAACCAAAGAATATACTTACTGAGGAAGCTTAACTCTTTTGGGGTCTGTAAAATAATTTTATGTACATTCTAAGGATGTCCCGATTCGATCATCGGAATCGGACGTTTCCTCCCGATCAGGACTCGGATATATGTAAATTAGGGGTGTAACGGTACATGTATTCGTAATTATTGAACCGTTTCGGTACGAGGCTTCCGGTTCGGTACGCATACAAACCGAACGATTCCTAGAACCATTTTTCTGCCGACAAAATCCGCGCTGGCGCGATCACCACAACGCTGCGCAACATCAAATGCCAAACGTAATGAAAGCGGAACGAAACTGCACTTCTCATTATATTGTGCTTCACGGACCGTTTATCAGTTCGGACCAGCAACATCTGTGCAGCCCGAGATCAAGCGACACAGCGCTAAGAGATCCAGTGAAGAAAACATTTGAATTCGCCACTGAAGTAATAACATCACTGCGAGATCTAGTGAGAAGCATTCACATATCTCCGTTATTAACCGTAGATCTCTATTAGATCAAACAGCGCTGACCTGGGAACCAGGAGAAACATTGTGCCGTAAATGAACATGGATTTAATGTTGCACTTCAAAACTCAAATATTACATAAATATATATTTAAATGTTATTTTTAATGTGATTACCAAAACATTATTTGTTCATCCTTCAAAGATTACACCCATTTATAAACCTGAAAGTTTCAAGATGTGGGAAAACTCACACTTATTTAAAAATAGTTTTTCTTTTAATAAATAGGAAATTTCTCTGGCATTTTTTTCTTTTTGCTGTATCGTATCGAACCGAACCGCAAATTTTGTGAACTGTTACACCCCTAATGTATATATATATTCTCATTATAAAAAAAAAAAATACTTTTATTTTTTGTTTACATGCCTGTATTTTAAGTTGAGGTGCTATTTGTTTTTATATTAGACTTTTTCTATATTTACTGTTGCACTAAAGTCCAAAAGTGAAGATTTTATGTTATTTATTACTTGATTCTTCAAGCTACCTCACAGAAGTGCTCTGTTTGTTAACAGTTGTTGAATGTTAAAATAAGGTGAATTAAATAAAAAATAAGGAACATCCTGGATCTTTTTTTTTTTTTTTCGCTCATCTTTATTCTTTTTTATGTATTATATAAGTATCGGATTGGGACTCGGTATCGGTAGATACTCAAAATCAAATGACTCGGACTCGAGGGCAAAAAAACCTGATCGGGAAATCCCTAGTACATTCTATCAGGCCTTCATTGAGAGCCTATTAACTTTTTCTTTCCTGTGTTGGTTGAATGGACTAGCTGTGAAAGATAAAAAAAAGTTTGAGCGACATTGTTATGCTCAAAAATCACTGGTACCCAATTAAATGATCTCTGTTCTCTCTGGAAAACACGTGCTGTCCAAAAGGCAGACAGAATAATGTGCCAACCAGATCATGTACTCAGTAGAGAATTTGTTATTATGCAGTCAGGTCGGCGGTATTATGTGCCAATACGGAAAACTAACCGCTATGCTAACGCATTTATTCCTTCTAAGACTGCTAGACGAAAATACATAACTACATGGTACTGGCTCTTGCTTTCCACTGCTCTGTTTAGTTAGTGGCAGGTATGTGTGTGTGTGTGTGTGTGTGTGTGTGTGTGTGTGTGTGTGTGTGTGTGTGTGTGTGTGTGGATGTGAGTATTTATTTCTTCTTTTCTCTTTTATACATTGTGTGTTAATGCATTTAACTATTATGGATGGGTTGGCTGTAAAACTGAATTGCCCCTTGGGGACTAATAAAGGAATCTGAATCTGAATCTGAATATCCTGATAAATAATTGCAAGCAACATATAAATGGCACAGATTAGTTTGAGCTCCCAAAAGCAACTGCTATTAAGATGCTTATGTCACGGCCGCGACAAAGGAGGAGACAACAAGATGGATAATGATCAAAAGGAATAACATCTAATAAAGTAAGAATAATCAAATAGGAAAAAGACGAGACGAAAACGTCACTCACCCTAACTCCATCCTGCAAACCAAACAAAGAAAAAACAGACAACCCACACTGGGTTCATAACACTTAAGAATAGCTTTATCATTATTATATTAGGAGGCCTCAGTTAAACATGAGAAGTCTTCGGCTCACACTTGCCAAACAGGAAGTGAAACTACAGCCACAGGAAGAGCTTTGAGGCTTCAGCTAAACACAAACACTACATTTCCCACAATGCAACTCTTCTCTCAGAGCTCATATGATGGAGAAACAGTGATCTTAATGTTCAAGCAATTTCTGTATTATTTATAGTTTCTGTAAACGACAGTGTTTTCCCATGCTGTCGATTACCACAGAAAATAACCCTAACAAGCTTTTCTTCTTCATCTCATGTCTTTTTCATTCAGAGTTTGGCAAAGATTGTTTCCTTAAAATGTTAAAGTGGATGATGCTTAACATGTAATTAACATGTTTTGAATATATATATAAAACAATCAAAAGTATAAAAAGAGCAGAAGAGCAACATAAAGCTCTTAAACATGTTAAAGGAGGACAGGAACAGGTTGTGGTTGATGAATTCACAGATTATTAGCAGTTCAAAACTGAGAGGCGTTTTCACGCCTAACGCCGCATGTGAAACACAGAGATCACAGATTCTCATCACGTGAGATGAGCAACAAGCGTATTATTTTACTCTCCACCGACAGATGAGAGCAGTATTATTGCTGTTTGAGTTTCAGAGAGTCGTGTGAGGAACTACTGAGAGTTTCAGACTGATTTTCTGAACTGAACTGATGAAGAAATGAAGTTTCCACTGATAGTTTGTGTGTTTCTGCTGACGGGTAAGAGCTGAAGATCTCTACTAAAAGTGTTTATTATCTAATATTATGGCAGTGTACATGAGTAATTCAGTGTGCCGATGTGTGTGTGTGTGTGTGTGTGTGTGTGTGTGTGTGTGTAGTGAGCAGTTCACTGTCTGTGGACATTACAGAGAGAGGAACAGAGAGAGAACGAGTGAGCATTACCTGCCCTTATCCAGAAGGATATGAAAACTCCTACAAATACTTCTACAGAGGAGTTTACGGAGAGCGTGACCTTATACTGCGATCTGATGGAGAGTCCTCAGTGTTCAGTGGCAGACTCTCACTGAAGGATAATCCTCAGACCAGATCATTTACAGTGACCATCAGTGACCTGAAGATGGACGATGCTGGACCGTACGTCTGTGGAGCTGGATGGATGCACCGCCTAGAGATCCAGCTAAATGTGATCAGAGGTGCCTGATATTCATTATTAAATCTGCAGTCCGTAACTTTTGGCGCTCTAGAGGTTAATAAACCGAATGAAAGCTTTAGCGTAAGTTCTCCCAGGAAGACTCAATTGTTACGTCACTTATTCCCTTCTCATCCGTCCAATCGTGTTATGTTTTATGTACTTGCGGTATAAAAGATCGGTACTTACACATGTGTGAGTTCACAGATGCTGACGCTTTCGTTCCCCTCCCCCTCCACCTCCACCAGGATGGTCAATAGACTCAAGACTCAAGTTACACTCACTGTTTTCTCCGACCTAAAGCAGCGCTGCACAGACCGGGCGGTGTATGATATCAAAGTCCCACGAGAGAGATCAGAGAACAGTTCTGTATGCTTTTGAATCGCTCTCGCACGAGTTTAACATAAACTGAACATACTAGAGTTGATAAACTCACTCTTAGCTGTTCTAGAACCGAAATGCTTGTTTTGGTAAACAGTAAAGCATAAGTGCTGATAATGTATTGCAAGAAATCATATTGCAGTGTATTGTTTTATCAATTATTCATCCCACCTCAACTAGATTTTTGGAGCAAGCACTAATATATCCTTTTGGAATTGGTCTTTATTTACTTCTTTTTTTTTATGTCACTCTTTCGATGTCTTATTGTATGCCTGATTTGCTGATATCAACAGAACTAATGATCTCCTTCTCTCTGGCGAGTCACACAGGCACTGGATTACTGGATTACTCCTCAGCGGTGCGACCGGTCTAAAGTAGTCCCAATATAAACACTTATTATAGGTATTATACCGTAGAGAATCAGGAGAAGGCAGAACACGGTTTGGAAGATTGATTCATGACGTTCTCGCTCATTTTATAATAATAAATTTTGAACACAAATAAAGTTACGGACTCGGACTGCAACTTTAACACCAATCTGAATCATCACTCCTGTGTTATTGATTTATGAATGTATTACGGCTTGACGGCTCTTCTTCATTTCTCAGCTCCAGTGAAAACAACACGTGTCCAGATCTCAACAACCAGCATTAGTCCATATACAAACAGCAGCACTGAACACACCAGCACAGGTACACACACACACACACACACACACACACTGACATCTGCATTCACATTGTGTTTTGATGAAAATATAGTTAATTATACTTCAATCAAAACATTAATTGTTTAAACATTAACATTAATAAAGCTTCTAAACACAATTTTAATGCTGCATTTATGATCATGATTTAGTTCAAGATCATTCATGTCTTGCACAAACTTAGAAGTTTTAACTTCTGTGAAAAATAAACCACAATTGCATCACACTGAACATTTAGAGGTTGTGATGTTCCTCAACACTTGAATCAAATGTACAACGACTGAATGTTTGACGTGTCATTTTACTGTAAATTTTGTTCTGCAGTTTCTGAGTAAAATCATCTCGTAATACTGACAGTAATGCCATCACAACATGAGTTCACCTTTATGTGTGTTTGACAGAGACTTTTATCCAAAGTGACTCTGTATCAGTTCAGATAATAAAGTGTCTTCTAAATGAACATTAATATAATGTGATTATCAGTAATCAGTATTATGAACAGAAAACACAACATGTGTTCATATGCAGCAATAGCAAACAGTGTTATGAGTGTGTTTGTCTATTATTATTATTATTATTATGTGTTATTATATCACTGCATGAGCGGCACATTCACAGTCACTGGTGTTTCTCTCTGTCAGCGACTCATCACACAGAAACTGAAACAACAAGAACAACAACAGGAAATACTACAGTTCAACTCCATCAGACAAACACTAGTAAGCACACAAACTACACTACCCATAATGCAACTCTCTGATCACATGATCACTCTGTGAAAGGAAATTTATTTGAATATTTGTGGAGACACATTTTAGCTCCTGTATGAATATAAATGATGCACATGTCAGATTTCATGTGGTTAATTTGGTTTGACATCAGCCGTAAAGAGAAGTGTTTCCTTCTGAAGAGTTGAGGTTTACCATTGCAGTTTCACTTCGGTTACACTATAATAACTCTATATTTACAATATTCTTAATGGTACAATAATCTAAGGTATTTATATAAGTCACACCAAAATCCCCAGTGTTAAATTAACACACTCAGTAGCTGCGTTTACATGGACACTTATAATCGGATTGACGGCTCAATCGGACTAAAAAACCTTCATGTAAACACCTTAATCGATCCGATTGAAATTTTGATCGGATTGAAAGGGGTGGTTTACTCCTTTTGTAATCCTATCGAGAGAACATGTAAACACTTGATCGGATTGAAAACCGAAACTAAAAGGACTGCGCATGTGCAATGACGTTGAAATAGCGTAATGACGTATGACGCACGGAACGAGCTGTTCTTCCTGGTGAATAAAGTGAATATAAATGAGTGTTCCGTTATTAAAAAAATCTCATTTCACTCCGTGTCTGTGAAGTGAAGCAGGACAGCGTCCCAGCAGTGCTTGTTTCAGACTCTCATCCATGGACGACTGGTTTTGGGCGCGGGGTTTTACTGCGTGACATATAAGCAGCACGACAAAATGGTTCATGCTCATCGTCTCCAAATCATGACCAGAGACGGATAAATATATTAAGTCTGCTGTTTAAAACAAATAAAGAACCAATAGAGGAGAATAGTCATGCGCGAACAGCAGCATATTCGTGCAGTGCGTATGTCAAAAAATCAATTCCGATTTGAATCTTGTGACATATAAACGCGCACATCAACCCGATTACTTTATTTATCGTTCATGTAAACACCGTGTTCGAATTCATCAATCGGATTGATTTCATTCCGATTGAACCATGTAAACGCAGCTAGTGTTTATATGATTCCACACTCAGAGTGTTAAAGGGTTAGTTCACCCAAAAATGAAAATTCTGTCAGTAATTACTCTCCCTCATGTTGTTCCAACCCCGTAAGACCTTCGTTCATCTTCGGAACACGAATTAAGATATTTTGATGAAATCTGAGAGCTGGATCACTCATCCATAGGCTTCTTCAGGGATTGAACTTGCCGGCCTCGAAAAGTTATTAAAGACATCGTTAAAATAGTCCGAGTGACTACAGTGGCTCAATCTTAAGTTTATCAAGCGACGAGAATACTTTTTGTGCGCAAAAACAAACAAAAATAACGACTTTATTTCAACTATTCATGTCCATCTCTTTGGGCCTCGAGCAGTGTTGGGGTAGTTACTCAAAAAAGGTAATTAGTTACTTGTTACTAGTTACTTCTGTAAATTGTAATGAGATTACTTTACTAGTTACTGCGTTTGAAAAGTAACTTCACTACTTATTACTTTACTTTCCCGTTTCTTAATTTATGGACAAATATCATAGCCCTATCATCACTTAGCCTGTCTACATAGTGTTTATTGTATAAATATATACAAAATGGCATGTAAAACCATATGAAAGAACAATATCCCTGTCTGCACAAGGAAATATATCTCACTGTAAAATCCACAAACAACAGGATAAAGGAGGCTATGGTGCGGTCATTTTAAAATGGGGTCAACACACAAGTTTTAAAACACAGGCTTTGGGAAACATGAGAATAAACTCTTCTCCTGAGAACAAAACAAGCTTTTTATTCGACTCATGGCAATAAAAATAAAAAATGAAGTGGTCAATGAAAAATAATAAAATAAAGGTCACTTTTACATTTTTAATCTTAATTTAAAATGCATTTTTCTTGGCGATTCAATAGTCGGCAGGGGAAGCATTCCTCTACAATGAACCCTGCAACAAGCCTGTTCATTTTGTTTTGTGTTACCTGCTGTGCTCCAAGACTTGAGAAGAGTTTTTGTAACAGCGCGCGCGGCGCCGAATCCGAGGATGAACGACTTCAAGAAGCCGAATCTGCCCGAGCATGTAGCCTACGTCTCACCGTGACCGCATCGGCACACAGTTTGCGTGTCTAAATCAGTTGCTTATGTTTACAAAATGAGCCTACAATAGCATAATAAGCATTTTTAATAGAAAGATCCATGTTTTATAAAATGTCCACGAAACTTAATGAAATGTTTAGTGAAATTAGAAACTATTTAAGAGATCGTTGATTTAGTTCTATAGTCTACATACATGTTTTTATATCCACATTTTGTTCTAATGTCACAAGTAATAATCTCAGTTTTTACTGGATTTTACGTACACGATTCTTTTTGTAGTGTTATTGGTGGTGATGTAGCCTACTAAAATAAACATCGTCACGTGTGGACCTTTCTTCTTCTCACCGTTGATTCCTGATGGTTAAGAGGACAATTACTCGAGTCGCCCCGTCGTTTCACAGAATAGTACAATGGCGAGCGCGTCGAGTATAAACGCCTCGTCCGTTTGGGGAGGTGCGCGTGCAGTCAGCGGAGACTCGCGCTGCAGAGACCCCCTGTCTCCGTCTCCGTCTCCATTTCCCTCTCTCCTTCGCACCGGCAGCTATGTCACTCAAATCGATCTCTATGGCAACGGTGCGCACGCACCACTAGACAGAACTTTACACACAAGCAAACACGGCTTGGGTAACGCAGGAAAGCGCGTTCCTATAGTATAGTAAAGTAGTGTAGTTACCGATATTTTTAGTGTAATGCGTTACTTTACTTCGTTACCCAAAAAAGTAATATCGTTACTGTAATCCGTTACTTTGTAACTCGTTACCCCCAACACTGGCCTCGAGTCAGTTCACTAGTGTAATAGCGTAAGCTTCTGTTGTTGTACGTCACACGCATCACGCACATGACCAGCGTCGGCCAATAGTGAGCCTAAGTGTGACGTAGCTCTACGGAATCACACTACGCTAACTGACTAGAGGCCCAAAGAGAAGGACATGAATAGTTGAAATAAAGTTGTTATTTTTGTTTGTTTTAGCGCACAAAAAGTATTCTCGTCGCTTGATAAACTTAAGATTGAGCCAGTGTAGTCACTTGGACTATTTTAACGATGTCTTTAATAACTTTTCGAGGCCGACAAGTTCAATCCCTGAAGAAGCCTATTGACTAGTATGGAGGAGTGATCCAGCTCTCAGATTTCATCAAAAATATCTTAATTCGTGTTCCGAAGATGAACGAAGGTCTTACGGGGTTGGAACAACATGAGGGTGAGTAAATATTGACAGAATTTTCATTTTTGG